AGATAAGAGCTCAAAACACAGAGAATCCAGGACAGATAAACCCCTCAGGATCAATAATGAGAGCAGTGATACCAGGAGGGGAAGGGAAGGTGGGGAGAGAAGGGGAACAGATCACAAGGATCTACATATAACCCCTCCCAGGGGGACGGACAACAGAAAAGTAGGTGAAGGGAGACATCCGTCAGTGTAAGACATGAAAAAATAATAATTTATAAATTACCAAGAGTTCATGAGGGAAGGAGGGTGGGGGAGGGAAGGGAAAAAATGAGAAGCTGATACCAAGGGCTCAAGTAGAAAGAAAATGTTTTGAAAATGATGATGGCAACAAATAGACAAATGTGCTTGACACAATGGATGGATGTGTGGATTGTGATATGAGTTCTACGAGCCCCCAATAAAATGATTTTAAAAAAATAACACCTATCATTTGATCTCCCTTTTGACCCATTTTAAATTTGTTCTAGTTTTTAATAATTTCTGCTTTCTTTTTGACTGAAGTTTTTCAGTTTTACTTTGTTATTGTTCTTAGGTTTTATTTTTCCCCTTAAAAATATTCTTTTCTATATATAAATCCAGGATAGGTAAATCTACAGAGACAGTAACTAGATTAATGGTTTCTTAGTGGTATGGCAAGGGAGGCTGGGGGAAATGGGGCACTAACAATGGAGACTCTAAGAACTAAGAAAATGTTTTGATTGTGGTGGTGACTACATATATGACTGAACTACTGAACTGTATAACTGTGAATTATATACCAATAAAACTGTTATAAAAATCAATATGATCCAGAGCTGCACTGAAACACTCCCTGGTTAATTCAACAAGACCAGGTACTACTGTGGTGTGCACAGTACGGAGACGGAGAGCAGCTTTCTGGTGGGGAGTCCATGTTCCTCTTAGGCACTGGCTAAGGCTGCTACATCTCTTGGCTAGCTGTGGCCTTCCTGCTGGTCCAGCTCTCACCAATAGCCTAGGGGCAGCCCTGGATCGCTGTCTTGTGAAGTGCAAGTACTCGGAGGGCAGCCCCTGTGCATAGTGTGCCAGGCTTGGCAGTGGGGGCCTCCTTTGGCGGCGCCTCCTCTGGGTCTCTGGCTCTCAGCTGCCTGTGGTGTTGCTTGGCCCCACATACTGCACTGCTGGGCCCACTGGCCTCAGACCACTCTGCTGCTGCTTCTCTGCCCAGCAGCAGCCGGCTCCCGCTTCCCCTGGCCTCTGCAGCTATTTCCTCCCGGCTCTGCCTTCCCCAGGGTTCACAGTTTCGGCTGCTCCTGGCATCACTTTCCCCTAATGAATCCTATCCCCCAGGCTCACATCAAGGATTGGAGGAGGGTACCCTCTAGCACACAGCTCACACCTCCTCGGCGGCCATGTTCTCTCCTCCCAGAGCTGAGGAAGTTCTGCCCGCTCCAACCTGGGGGCTTCCGACGTCAAGCCACTAGGTGATCCTTCTTATCAAGCCAGCCCCAACTCACTGGCCTCAGTTGTGGTACTATCCTCAGAACCAGGACCTGGGACCCAGTCATTCACTGCAAAAGGGGTTCTGTACCCTGCAACTGGCAAAAAGTGTGGGTTGTATGGTGATTATAGACAGTCCTCTCAGCTTCAGCCAACAGTTCAGTTAGAAGCGGTTTGAGCACTTAATGAATTAAGGAGTGCTTTACTTGCCCCTCACAGTGGCAAACCACTGGCATGCCACTAGGACTGCGCTCCCATTTTACAGATGAAGAAACAGATGCAGAGATGACCAACTTACTTGCCTCAAGCCACACGGCTGACCAGGCGCATGACTTGGCTGATGAACCCAGGGTTTCCCACTCCAAGTCTGTCCGTGGCAGAGCACACTAGCTAACATCTAAGGAAGCACCCCAGATAAAGCCTGCTGCCATCGAGCTGATTTCACTCGCAGAGCCACTGCAAGGACAGAGTACCACTGCCCCATCATGTTGCCAAGACTGTAGAGTCTATCTTTCTGACCTTCTGGTGACCAGCCCAGGGCTTTAACCACTGCACCACCAGGGTCCCCGGGGAACACTGAGTGTGAGAAAGAGCACACGACCTGCAGCTGTGGCCTGAGCCTTGGTGAGGTGCGGGGGCCACGTGCCAAGCATGGGTCACTGAGAAAGGCAACTGGACTCTGTAAGCTGAGCCACTACAGAGCCAATGGCTGGATTAGGTTGTACATGGGGACACCCCATTCTGTGACTGTACAACCCAGGGGTCAGCAGAGCCGAGACGCTGCCTGTATACTGGAAGCCAGTTCCAGAGTTCACATGCAGCTGGTGGGGGGGCATTAGAGGCTGCTCTTCCCCTGGACTGGCTCCTTACAGACTGATTCTCTTCAGACAAACCCTGAGCAGGGCCTCTGTGCTCTGCCCAGAGCCAGCAAGGCACCCGAAGGACTGCTCTCGTCTGGAACGGAGGAGCAGGGCACCACTGGCTAGCAGACTGGCACTGTGATCGCTGCCGTACTCAGCCTGAGCCTGTCACACACGAGCCAGACTCTGTGTGGTCATTAATAAGGATACCTCTTTCTCCATGGTGATGTCACACTGATTTCTGCACATACGTCTAAAATGTCCAACAGCAACAGTAACCATTATTGAGTTTTCTACGAATTCTGATAACTACCTAAAACTTGAAAGGTTGGGGGAGCTGTTAGGACATGCCCTATCAGATCTCTGCAGAGACGTACCACCACAAATTCCCTGCACACCTTTTCTGTCAAGGGAAGGCAGCTTTGTAAATAAGGGCTCGGACCTGCTGAGCAGTTGTGGGCAGGAGGAGAGCCCGG